TACTGAATAGGTACACTGTAATTACAAAAAAGTTACGCTGTAACTTCAGTTTACTTACGCAGTTCTTTGCAGGTTGCATATCTGGTTGTTACCCCCTTATTACCCAAATGTAACACATTGTTCCCTTATACCTACACGTACGTTCTTTATAGGTACACTATAATTACAGAAACTTACACCGTAAATTCAGTATACTTACGTAGTTCTTTGTGGGTTGTAATCTAAAGCGTTACCTAAGTAACTAAGCTGTTTTATGGATGGTAACTAATATTATTACCAAAATCTTATTAGTAATAAGTTACACTACTAGTTACTGCAAAAAGTAATATTACAGTAACTAAGTTAGTAGTAACTAGTTACTGCCCAACACTGATTATGGGTGCTATGGTTAACATCGATTGTAAACTCATTATTGTGGTCCACTGTGGGATTGAATGAGTGCACTATGGTTTCGGACGCCACTACACATTGCTGTCTCCTCAAATAGTGCCCTATTTAAAAGTACAAAGGGTGATTTCTGACACAGCCTGGTAATCCCGAACACCTTGATGATCTGGTTCAGGTGTGTTTAATAGGGTCTGCAGGACAGAGCTTTTGCTAAAGTTTTGCGGATTCATTGAATAGATCCAAAATACAGAATACACGATTGCTGACTGTTGAGTGTTGATTAAAACCAAAAATGTAGCTGAGAAGATGATAGGGACAGCATGATTTTTGGTAATGTTGTAGGTTTATGCTTATGTGCATGTTTATAGGTTTTGTAGGCAAATATAAATTGTCTACATATAAATTTCTTTAAAAAACTAACATTTTTTTTAAATTTATTCATTAAATAGGAGGTGCTGTAGCTCAGTGGTTCTCAAACCTCTCCATGAAGTACCCCCAGCACTGCACATTTTGTATGTCTCCCTATATCTGACACACCCACTTCAGGTCTTGCAGTCTCCACTAATGAGCTGATGAGTTGAATCAGGTGTGATAGATGAGGGAGACATACAAAATGTGCAGGGCTGGGGGGTACTCCAGGACAGGTTTGAGAACCACTGCAGTGTAGCTGATACTGAAACAAAAATGAGTGTTCAACAGTAAGGGTCAATAAGGTTTAAACCCCTCCCAGAAATTTTTTCTTGAATGAACAAAGGGATACCTGACATACTAAAATAACTAAAACTAGATTTAATAATTTTAATAAAATTAAAAAAAAATACAAACATACAACAAAAGTAATCAAATTTAAATAAAAAGAATTAAATTAAAATGTACAAATAAAAACACATTTAAAATATCAATAACAGTATCTTGGTGCTAAAATAAAACGGAGCAATTCTACATTCGATTTAATTAAATATTTGTTTGTTTGATTCCTTTCTTTTTTTTTCTCAAGGAACCCCCATTTGGGATACCATGCACTAGAGCAGTGATGGGCAAACTTGGCCCTTCCAGGTCACTTTCCTGCAGAGATTTGATCCAACCCAGATAAAACTCACCTGCCTGTAGCCTTCTAGTAGTCTTGAAGACAATGATTAGCTGGTTCAGGTGTGTTTGATTAGGGTTGGAGCTAAACTCTGAAGAAAAGTGGCCTGGAAGGGCCCAGTTTGCCCACCCCTGCTCTAGAGTCTACTCTAGATAAAACGTGGTTAATATATATATATATA